TTTTTTTTGCAGCTGCAGAGAAACCCACAAAATGCTAAATGCAAATTGCATTCAAGTACTTCATTATCTTAAGATCACAACAACTTGTGCGCTGCATGTGAAGTGCTGCTGCCCTTAGCCCTGCCTACGACCACTCACCCTATATATAAATATATATGCCTATTTGTCGGCTATCTGTCTCCTGGCAACTTGACTCAAATATGTATACATATACATACATACATACACACATATGCAATTGTTTACTCTCGTGCTCTTCACGGTTTGCATTTCGATAAAATGCCGTTGTTTACTTTTCATCAATAAAATGTTTGGCCAGCAACACGACAACAACAACAACAACAAACACAACCATAGAATAATAGAAAATTGTGAATATAGACAGGTGTTTTCCGGCATTGGCATACGTCGGATAACTGACATTTTCTTTCTTTCTGTCAGTTTTGCTGTTTGATCTAAGTCTTTATGTTCATTCCTTGCCCTCGACTTTAACAAAGTGTCTGTGTGTGTGTGTGTGTGTGTTTACTTAGTTTGTCAGACTCCGGTATACCCTGTAGCTGCGCAGTGTGCAGGGAAGTTTTGTTGAATAGCTCAATATGAGTGAGGTGAAGGCACATTTGTTAAGTTAGAGTAGGTAGATTTACTAATAGGTATGCAAATTGTTGTGCAATAGAAATTTAGGAGGAGGAGATGGAGGGAGAGGAGGAGAAATGGGAATCGGTAGATAATGTACCATTTCTTTTACGTTAAAGAAAGCAAAAGTTTGCACAAATAAGTAAATTTAAGGGAATATTTTATAGGTAAACAAAGAACTATATAGTTACATATAAAAATAGAGGGAGATAGTAGATAGTGTATAATGAATGAAAAAGCGAACAGTATACCATCATGTTAATTCCTACAAATACTCAAGCTTTTTTTAGTACAACTTACAGGGTATTTGGTAGTCAATCACACATACATCTACTCCTACAAGTTCCCCTTCTATTTGGCAAGCTTTTCATGGTCGAATGCCAACATGTTGCGAAGCGACGCGGCTCTGCCCTGCCTTGATATAAAGAGACGAAACCGAATGCAGGCAAAGAGTGTGGAACCTTTGTTAAATAACAATAAAAAGTATTTCTCAGCTCAAGTTCTCTAACTATGCTCTTCTCTCCTCTTCTATTTCGCAGGCGAGTGACTCGCTTGGCACACTGCATGGAAATGACAACCACAACGCAGGTGGAGGAGATCAACACGAATGGCAATGGGAGCGGGAGCTTGGATGGCAGCGCCGTGACCACAATGCCAACTGCAGCCAACTCCAACTCGAACTCGAGTCCAGCTCTGGCCAAAGCCCAGTCCGTGTCCAAGAGTTCGGGCGGCGTGGGCGTGGCCAGCACACAAAGAGGTGAGCACTTGGCTGCGCTTGAGCGCCCAGCTAAAATAGAGAGAAGCAAAAACGAGTCGAAACAAAAGTCTGCAGCTAAATGCTGTTAATTTTCTGCCACACGTTTGTTGCAAGCAGACACGCGATGTTAACCAAAAAGGAAAAAAAAGAGAAGAAGAGACTGGAAAACTAGATGAATGTAACGCCACAGACCCATCTCTGATTAAGTCACAATAAAACACCAATAGCAATTTGTTTTAACAAACATGTGTGAGGCAGCCGTGCAGCTAATTTGTCAATGGATATAGATGGAAATATATGTGTACATATATCTATGTCTATATAATGGGATGTATATATAAATTGAAGTTGACGGGCTGCCCGCCTGCTTGGCTCTCTGTAAGCGGAGCTCTCTATAAATAGAGCGTCTTCTTTATTACATTCCCGGGCAATAGCTCATTAATAAGTTCTTAAATTAGAAGTCCTTAGAATCGTGTGCAGAGAGTTCGTCAAATGTAATTTTATACTCTTTGATATTTGTGCCGGCCGTTGGGAAGTACATTTCAAGTGATATTTTGTTTACCTATATGTATATACACTCATTGATCTTTAATGGGAATTGAGGTTAGATTTGCTTTCTTTCTACTGCATGCAACAGAAGGCCAGCTAGACCTTATATTTATGCTAGATTATATTCTATATAACATATTAGGGATTTCGACTTTGATAAATACTCACATTTAGCTATTCATAATAGTCTTGAGAAGAGTTCTAGGTATTTTCTTGTCGGCTGTTGATATCTGTTATCTGTACGAACAGTTCGAGGTATATTTAAGTCGGGTAGCCCACACATGAAATTATTCATTGTACTCAAACCTCTACTTGAGATGTATTACAATTTTTTTATAGTTTTCTTGAGATAACCGAAAGTGAGCGTTATCTGTTTAGCTACAGGCTATATAAGACTCGTTCACATGATATCAACTGACATCATATTGAAATTTGCTTCTCTGGAAATATTTCATATATGTATATACCTTACAGAAATGTTTAAGATTTATAAATTCATTTAGTTGTTTTAGTTTAAATGTAAATTTTATATTATGAGGTATTCCTAATGCACTTTTTTCTATACCTCAATTTAATTCCCAAACAAATCTTTTCTGTCTTAACCTTGTACTCTATCTTAAATCGAAATCGGCCCGTGAAACACTCTATCTAATATGTTTTATCTCTGCATCTGCCAGACACTCGCTATTCTCCCATGATTTTTTCATTATATAAAGTCTTTGTTTATTGCTTTGTTTTATTTATTGTTTCACTAATTTGCTCAAGTTTCTAAAGACCTTAGCTCTTCTTATATCCGCACGACGATTCACACATAGCTCAGCTGGAGCTGGAGCTTAAGAAAGTTTTCCCATGGCACGCCTAGCTGCCGTCTGCTGTCCTCTATGGCAGCTGGATTTGCATATACAGATGCACATTTCTCGATTTTCATTCGCTCTCTCTATAGGTTTTCTCGCTGCTTTTATTGTTATTTCCTTTTCAATTTGCTGAAACAGCTGTGCTGCCCATCTGCCCCATTACGTAACGCAACGCACTGCAATTATCCCAAGGCATTTGTTTAATGACTGCGAATCTGTTGTGCAACATTTAACATTTTGTTTGATTTTTGTAACTCCAAAAGTTAAAACATATGAAAGTTCCCCACTGTCCGATGATAATTTGTCTGATTGGCCGACACAAAGGCATCTGGAGGCATCTGCTTTTCGTTGCAATTAGAAAGACATGCATCATATTCGTTCCATAGCGTACCAGGTGACGTGTGTGCGTATATATATGCTTGTGTATATATCTAAGTTCACGGTCAGTGATTGATTTAATTTCGATGGGCCTATTATGAAATCTATACACGCGATCTGACATTGAAATTGGGTAAGCGATGCGAATAGATTTGGAACAATGCACTAAATGGTCGCTAATTAAGACTTCCAGCTGGAGAGCCGTTGGGCGGGTGAATGGGCGGTGCATGTGGTGAGCTTTACTGTAAACAGCAGCAATAGCTAATGATGATATTCACTGGCGGAAGCTTTGAATGAGAGCTATGCACAGTATGGAGAATAGAATTGGCTGGGGAACAGTAACGCGTTAATTCTCGTATATGTATAGTGATTACACACAATAGAGATGTTAACGGTAATTTAGTATGATGCAATAGATTTGCGCGACAGATTTTTGATCAAATTTTTTGTGGAAAATTTGCACTGAGAATCAATTTGAAGTGAGAATTGAATTGAGTCTTTAGATTGCTGAAGTATCTTTAGTCTCTGTAATTATCTAATTAGTTAGTCTCTGTAATTATCAATTTAGTTAGACTTTGTTGTGGCTAGGATTATACTAGATAAGCTACATACACTAAATAGATAGTGTTGATCTGGAATATATACACCTATCTGAGCAGACACGGTTAGAAGAACCTAAAAGCTAAGATTTTCATCGCCAACCACAGATCCATATATCGTATGCCGTGTACATGCCGGACCCGCTCCACTATGCCCCTAGTCCCAGCGGTAGTATTCCGTGGCTTCCGATCTTTTCACATTTATGGCGAAGAGAACTCTGGGGAGAATGATATTTATATTATACATACATATTATATCTCAGGAAACAGATCATTCTTAGTCTTAGAATTAAACGAGATTATATTATAAGAACTTTTTCGTAAGGAATGAAACTAGATTAAATATTGATATAAAGAGGACTCTTGTGCAATTATAAATAGCCTGAACTCTGCATTTAAAGAAATGTTCCATGAGGCTTGAGGGTTCGCTTGAAATGGAGACCTATATGGTTATATACATAAGCCGTCTGTCGTGTCTCTTCGTATCGTTTTCAAAGTATATATCATTAGCTCAGCAACCACCATTTATATAGCAATGTCTGCATGTATGTATGTGTGTGTGTGTCGTTATGGACATGTGTGCGTCTTAATTCCTGGCTGCTCCTTGTTTTTAGTCACATCCGCTTTAATATAACTCGCTCGCATGCTATTTATAGCACCCTCATGGCCACCCTGCGCCAAAAGCGAGCACGCCCCTTATCATGATCACAACAACAACAACAACAACAACAAATATAACAACAGCGAGTCTTTTGCTAAATTTAAACGGGCCGTACGTACCCCTAGGGGAAACACATCGCAATCGCTGGAATGCGCAGCATATGACTTCCCATGGCAAGCGCGACTCGACTCTTGGCTATTCAATTATGCATTCGATCGCAATTGGAGGCAGCTGCTCTCCGATCTCCACAATCTCCAATCTTCGATCGCCGCGCTCCTCGTTACGCCCACATCTCTCTGCATGCTCAATTACCGGTTTGCCAGTGAAACTGTAACGTTGACAAAGTCTCAGCGAAATGTTAGACGAATTTCAATATGTGTTTAGCTAACTGAAATCGAAACAAGCCAGAAAAACTCTGACCGGGAAAGACTGACTACGATATACCTACACATATTGAAAAATCGATGTTTCCAGATTAAGTATAACAGAGCTCAACTTTAATATACCCACACTCTTAATTAAACTGTGTTTCATTTTTGAAAAAACTTCATTTTAAAAAACTCCGAGCTGCATATACCCCAACAACAATTACATCGGCTACAGGGTATATGAAGACCAAAAATCAAATATCAATGCGAGAGAAACTTGTTTTGAGAATGCACAAAGCGACATTTTTGTGGGCTGAAATAAGCCGAAACGCCATTCAGAGAGCTTTTGAGTCTGGCTGGCTGCCAATGGGGCAGCTGAGTCTGAGTCATTCGTGTATTCGCAATGCGCGAATGAAGGCCGTGATTGATAATTGTTGGCCGTAATTAAAAGCCGAGTTAGAAGAAGAAGAGAACGGCTCGCTGTTGACCCAGTTTAATTAAGTTATCCAATCAATATGGCGCATCTAATCGATTGATTTGATTTATTCGTTTTAGCTGTGGATGCGACCAAACGCAAGAAACTGAAATCACGCAGCGCTACAACAACAACAACGGCAGCAGCAGCAGCAGCAGCAGCAGCGGCAGCGGCATCAGCAGCAACGGGCACAACAACGGCAACAGCAACGAACAGCAAGAACAAAAGCAGCAGCAGCAATGGCAGCGCACGTGAGCAATATGCCAAGGATCATCTAGATGCGTGGCTAGAGAATTGCCTGCGTGATGCGACGAATGCGCAATTGTCATCATCGTCGGAATTTCTGGACTTTAATCCAACAACAGCGACCAAGAAGACGTTGGCAGCAGCCGCAGCAGCAACACAACAACAGCAGCAGCAACAGCAGCAGCAGCAACAACAGCAACAGCAGCAACAACAACAGCAGCAGCAGCAGCAACAACAACAGCAACCATTTTTTATGCGTTCACACTCGCAACCGTTTGGCATGGGCGGTGCCACGCCCTTTAGCATGGGCATACAGCGCGTGAGTATTGGCCATTAAGGCCTGCGACAGTTGATGACCCAAAATAGTTAACAATTTCTCATATTGCTTGTAGCACCCACAATCGTTGAGTTACCGCTACCCCATGCTCTTTCCGCCCCAGTCCAACGGCTACGGCCTGAACTTTGGCCTGCCGCTGGCCGGCGATGGGGCCCAGGAGTTTGCCAGTCTGCCGCCGCTGGTCAATATGCTGGGCGGCTTTGGCGCCAGTCCAGAGCACGACCAGAACTCCACGGACGTTATAGATGGCAGCGGCAGCAATCCGAACATAAGTCGCGGGTAAAACCATTACACAAATTCGATTTGTTAGCGACACTAACTAAGACTATGCCTATTGCAGCTTTCGCTTTAGTGATCCCTGCCTGCTGAATCCCTCGGACAATGACTCCAAGCTGAGTGGCCAGAATACGCCGGACTGTCGCAATGGCAGTGGCAGTGGCAATGGCAACGGCGCCCCAGTCTCGACCAATGGCAACGGCAGCGACGTCGATCAGCAGAATAAATTCTTTGCCGCGCTAATGGAACAGATTAACATATTGCACGAAACGAATTCGAAAATTTGTCGCAATTTGCACGAAACGAAAGGTGCGCTCAGGAAATTATTTGTTATACCCTGTACTTAATAGTAATTGAGCAGAACTTAGAGTAAGTGCAAAGGAAAGGGAGTTTCTATTCCTTTGCACACTCTAGTATTTTCTAGCATTGTCCGCCTGTTTGTCTGCTTAAGCACTGTGATCTCCATGACTATAAAACTATATATGTAAAGCATAGATTATTCTTAATTGTATATAGCGTAAGATCTAAATTTTGTTATATACATATGTAGTATTCTTAATCATTGCTGCTAAGTACTGGGTATGCACTAGTCGTACACGCTATCGACTATCGAACACCTTTGTATATCCTTTTATTGTACATAATTGTATGGCAAGACAGTCTGTAAATTCGTAAAGTACTTTCTACTATTTATTCGATATATTCTCTTTCCTATATTTGTAATATCCTTTGGCGCTCTCTATTGCTATTACTCTTGTTGTTGTTGTTTATATTGTAATTGTTAAAAATTTGTAAAAACTTTCTGTATTTACACGCTGCTCTCGATTATGTATTATGTATTTTGTATGCGTATTTGTTGCGTATTTTCTTTTACCTATTTTCGCCTACTATCTTCTCCACACACACACACACACCGCACACTACGTAAATATGTATACACACACAAACAGTTGATATCGAAGCTTTGAAGCACGCTCCCAATGGCCAGCCGTGGGCTGGCGGCGGGGGCATGCGGCACCGTAGAGATAGCTTGAGTGGATTAAGCACACAAAGTCAACCATTGGTATTTGGCGGCGGATTCGGTGGCACGCATAGTCCAGCGCCCACTTTTCATTCAGGTATATATATTTATATATGCAAACATCTATATATACATTGTGGAACCTGCTCTAGCTGCTAGCAACTAATCCATATGCTTGACTCTCTTTTAGGTGCCTACACGCCCGGCATGATGACGGATGTGGTGCGCGAGGTCAAGGAGGCGGCGCGTGTGCGTGAGGATGCGCTGCTCAATCGGTAAGTCTCAAGCTCCATCAATCTCTGCACTTGCTCATTATTCTCGTTATCACACAGCGTCAAGTCCATGGTGGAGGAGCGTCAGTGGTCCATGAGCGAGGGCAACGTGCGCATACTGCGTGATATAGATGAGCTCAAGGTAAGTCCAGCTGCAGTCCAATGAAAACAGATTAGCTAATTTGACTGATTTGCAGGCGCAGGTAATGCAGCTGCGCGTGGAGCGCAAGGAGACGAACAAACGCGTGTCGCATCTGGAGGCGGAGAACAAATATCTCCGTCAGGCGCTGGCCAGTTTGTTCAATCAGCGACAGGCATATCACGATATAATCTACGAGAACGAACGCGCTCGAGGCGCGCGCACCAAAACGCCCTTTGGCTTTCCCAATGGCGGCGCACGACGTGCACATTCGTTGAATCTGCACTATGGCACCGTGCATCAGGCACCGGCGCCGCCCACCCAGCTGCTGGACGAGGACGATGAGGAGGAGCAGCTGCAGGATGAGGATAATGAGGAGTTGGCTAGCAGCAAGCGCCTGTCCAGTTCCAGCAACGAATCTCGCAGCAACGGCCTGGCCACGCCCATTAAACAGTCGCCGCAATCGCAACCTGTGCAAAGTCCGCCCAAGTTCGCATTGTTGGGGGAGCAGGTGGCGTCGACACCAACGCCGCCGCCGCTGCTGCCTCGCAAGAAGGAGCATGCGCAGCTGAAGCGCGAGCTCAGTGAAGCGACCAGCGCACGTAAGGAGGCCAATCAGCGTATCATAGCGTGGGTGTAGTCTATGCTCTATATGGCTTACTTTACTGTTTCACATGTCTCTAAGCTGTAACTGTAACAACTCGACCTTTACATTGCAGCGTTTCACCTTTCATTTCGCATGCATGCACATCCCCTAATGCCGCACTCCGTAACCCATTCCGTATCAGGTTTAAGGCGTATTCGGTGACTAAACACAGCAAAATTCACTCACAGTATTTTTTTGCATTTCTGCTCTTCTCTTTCTGCAACTACCAAACAAATCCAAACTGCTGTTACGATTGTCGACTGTCTTTAGACTCGAAAAATTGGTTAAAGACCTAAGCGCCCAGGTGGCGAGCCAACCAAATTGGAATCCAAATGTGACTGCACCCATGGCTGCCGCCGGCGCCGCCACGGCCAACAGACTCAGCCTCGCCGGCGGACCCATTACGGACTTATAGTTCTAGCTAACCGGCTGCGGCGATCCAAGCACGCCCGGCACCAAACAACCGATGACACCGACTGGCTTGCGTGTTACCCACTTATAGCAGGCACCAAAGCCTCGGACTCAACAGCGGCGACTGCACACATTTCGTTTCAAAATTATTTATAACTCTCTAACCTATGCATAAATCAAGAGTGGAGACCGTGTTTAATACACACACGCCCACATATGTAAGCACATCTATTTATATAAGCCAAATGATCATGTTAAAGGCCAAATCCTCAGTATACCCAGCAAATCCACAGTTCAGGCCGCACAAAACTTTCAAATTTGTTACTAAATCAAAGTATCTACACATACCTACATACATTAACTATGTAACTAATTGCGAAAATCGTGTACCTATATATATATATTTATACATGTCCATATATACCTAAAATATCAAGCGAACAAAAATCAAAATCTATTTAGAGACAATTGTAACTGTTTTGTAGAGGAATGCAAACACTTTATACGTACGTTCATCGATATTGTTGTGCAGTGTTGTAGTATTAATCACTATTTTTTAATAACTTACATTAAACAGATTTAGGTGCCATTTGATACATAAACAACAAATTCATGTTTTATTTAATTACCAAGGTAACA